TACAGTTATGGTCTAAAATAAATTTAGTGATTTTGTCTAGATCTACTAGATTCAATGTTCTAGTATTCAAACTTGTTAGATTGTTTAATAAACTTGAAACTGTACTCAAACTTGATTTTTTTAAAATTTTTTTTAAGAGGAAGGTCTTCAAACTTGACTTGTTTATTAATTAAGCCAAACTCAAATGAGTTTTTTTATAGAATCGAGCATGAGTCGAACTTGAGTACCTTGAATTTTTTACTTGTAAATTCTAATTTTATGTTAATCAAGCCAAGTTAATGCCAAATTTGATAGTTAATCTAACACATAATAATACTTCTTAAATTTTGATTTGATTAGTTGGCAAACTAAGTTCAAACAAACTTTTATTTAGCCAAATTTGATTTGAGTATCAAGTAATTTGGTTCATTTTTCAACCTCAATAAGAAACACTATCTTTCAAGCGGTCATATTTAATCGACTATTTGAAAAAGAACCTTCTAATCAAGCACACTTTTCATCCATATGTAATATTTGGCATTTGCTTCTGCTGTTGCCTAATCCTTCAAGGAGGAGTTGCAAGGATATAAAACCTACCAATTGATGGATTCCAAAGGACTTGCTTGTTGGATTATCCTCCTCCATCTGTTGGTTGTTCTGGTAAGTTACTTTGCCATTAATTTTTTTTTTCCCGTGATATACTTAATTCTCACTCTCTTAAAACGCATTGCAACCTTTACAGGGAGGAACTTGTGATATTATACCCAAGGCCAAGGATAGTACTAATGCAATCAGGCTCTAGGTCTTGGATGTTAATAATCCTCATCGAAATGATAAGAGACATGATGGTAATCACGTCCATGAAAAGAAAACCCACATGAAACCATGGATTCACGGAATTTAGTTCTGAAATGACCTTTTTTAGGAAAAATGTTCCCACTATGATGCTCTTTTGTAAATTATTACCATTTTAATCTTTTTTTATGTCATGTAAGCTCCCATTTTAAATGCAAGAAGACCTTAATTAAATGAACATGATTAACCTTCTCATGCTATAATCTTACTCAATTCATACTCAAAGTTCAACGCCAAAAACCCAAATCCAAAGCAAAAAAGAAAGGGGCAACAAACATAAGATTCCACATTCGACTAATGAATAAGATATTATAATTAAGAAGTATTTTATATTTTAAACACTTAAATCATCCAAATTCCTTTATATTACACCAATAGGATTTGATATTGGATTTTTAGAAATAATATTATCATGTTACTCCCAGGAATTAGAGATCCTGAATTTTGATCTCCCTGTTCTTTTTTCGCTTTTTAAATCCCATCATTCCCCTACTAAATTTTCTTAATAAAAATGTCACTCATAAAAAATGAAAAAGAAATGCTATAATCATTTTATAATATTTTAGCATTAATCAAATCTAGAGTCTTTCCCTATGTTTATAACCTTGTCTCTTTTTTTTTTTTTTTTCATTTTCATCCTTGAATTTTGCTTTTTGCCTTAGCATTTCGAGTGTGAATGTGGAAATCAATAATCACAAAGTAGAAAAAAAAAGAATAGTATTACAGCAAAGGATAATTTCAAAAACTTCTTCTAAGATTTCTGATAATCTCAATGTTGCCCACCTCTATATTCAAATATTATACTTCCATGCTTTTTTTAAGGACTCAAAATGATTATAATAATCTTCCCAAAAGTAATAAAATGCCTATCAAACTTAAAAAACATATCACCAAGAATCTGCTCATCACCAAATACTATATCACTATCACTGTTATGCTACTTCTTTTGTATAGTTTTAATCCACCTTTTTTCCCCTATTCAAGTTTTCTTATCCTTTTTATAATTCAAGTCTCCATGTCTCACAAATTCTAGTGTTAATCATGTTTTTTAATTGACTTGTATCTCACTCTTTCCATTTGTTATCATTTTTTCTTAGACCAAAGTTCAATCAACGCGCTACAAACACAAATATACGATTGTGAATTTGGCCAAAGGAATATCGAGGAAATGATTTAGGCTAGCTTGAGGCGAGACTCTTTAAGACTAGGAGAAAAACAAAAATATATTCATTGAATAATTGGATTTAAATATAAAAACTCCTTAAAGGAAATTTGAGGTAGACATGGCCATGGTTCCATTTGGAACCGAGAACCGCGACCGTTTGGAACCGAACCAAAACCGGAACCAAAACCATGGAACCAGAACCGTGGTAGAACCTTGGATAAAGGTTCCGGTTCTAATTCTCTAAAAAATAGAACCAGAACCAGAACCGCCGCGTTCCAGAACCGTTAAAAATAATTAATATAAGTAGTGAGATAATTCACAAAAAATTAGCATGTGTTTAATAGGTTTTAGGAAAGTTTAAATTTTATGGACTTTCTATATATTTTATTAATTATTTAATTCTTTCTATTCATCTAATATCTATCATTATAATTTGTAAGTATTAAATTATTACTTACAATTTTTTTTTTGCTTATTTGCTATCAAATGACAAGTTTTGATGGTAGTAGCTCATCTTCAAAATCAAGTAAGCAAAAAAATATTTTTTGCAATATTTCTTCAAATGGAATCTTCAACATTGATGATTGTCCAACTCAAGAAAGTCAACACATGACAACCATTTGATAGTGTAATGTATTTTTTAATTTGACAATGTAATGTACTTTTCATAAAATTTATATTATCTATTTATTACTTCTTACTTTGTAGAATAATAATAAAATTAAAATATGATCTTTATTTTGTATTTATTTTTTTACATTTTATTTGAAATTTTAAATATATTGTTATATTCGTATTAAAATTGGTAAGGATAAGGAATTAAATAAAATTATATACAATCATACGAAACCGGAAACCAGAACCAGAACCATAAGGAACCAAAATCAGAACTATGCGGTTCTGGTTCTACCTCTTTGAATATCAGAACCGGCGGCTCTGGAACCAGAACCAGAACCATCTTATATGGTGCGGTTCTGGTTCTACCTCTTTGAAGAACCAGAACCAATGGTTCTGGAACCGTGGCCATGCCTAATTTGAGGTATTAATATGAATTTTTTTCCCTTATATCAGCTGCATAAAACCCACAACTACTATTCAGGAAAGGTTTGCATAATTTTTTAGAGGTAAAGGGATCTAAATGTAATAGTCAAAAATTTTAGGGGAAGTTTGTGAAATTATCCCTTAGAACAAGGAGGAGATTTTTTGATATGAGGTCTCACAACGTTTAAGATGGAAGTTTACGTTGCATAAAAGAGATTAAAAAGGTAATAATTTGTCAAAGAGCATCACACTGTGACTATTTTTTTTCTAAAGAAGGTTACTTTGGAAATAAACTCTACTTATATTTATTATCTAATTCCAACCTGCCAATTTCTCTTGATTTTTCCTTTCAGCATTTATTGATGCATATTTAGCCGGGTCACTTTTTTCTAATCATCTACCCATGGCTGGTGTAATTAATTGTACATTTCGATTGTGCTCATTAATTAATTCAACCACTGCTACAGTATTTCTTTGATATTGGAACTCCACCCCTGGGACGGACTGGTCGCAAAATTCTGTCGGAGTCCAATAATTCAGCCATTATATATGTACTTTTAGCATATGTTGCAAGTTACAAGTTATATATTCAAATACTCAATAATTCAAATATGAATGATGAACTAATGTCTAATCACTAATTATGGTTAAAATTTAGTAATATACTCATATTGAATTTATTTCTGAAATGACCTTTTTTAGGAAAAATATTCCCAGTATGATGCTCTTTTGTAGATTATTACCATTTTAATCTTTTTTATGTCATGTAAGCTCCCATTTTAAATGTAGGAAGAACTTAATTAAATGAACCTTCTCATTCTATAATCTTACTCAATTCAGACTCAAAATTCAACGCCAAAAACCCAAATCGAAAGAAAAAAGAAAGGGGCAACAAACATAAGATTCCACATTCGACTAATGAATAAGATATTATAATTAAGAAGTATTTTATATTTTAAATACTTCAATCATCCAAATTCCTTTATATTACACCAATAGGATTTGATATTGGGTTCTTAGTCTAGTAGATCAGATCTAGGTTTGTTTGGATACCTCAATTATCCCAAATAATATTTCGCTTGCATCATAGACACATTTTTCAACCCACTTTTTTATATTTCCAACCACCTTTTTATCTCACATACATCACATCACAAAAAGTGCTACAGTAATTATTCCAAATAATATTTCAAATAATACACTATCCAAACACTCCCAGTCCCAGGAATTAGAGATCCTAAATTTTGATCTCCCTGTTCTCTTTTTGCTTTTTAAATCCCATCATTCCCCTACTAAATTTTTTTTTTAAAAAAAGTGTCACTCATAAAAAATGAAAAATAAATGCTATAATCATTTTATAATATGTTAGCATTAATCAAATCTAGAGTCTTTCCCCATGTTTATAACCTTGTCTCTTTTTCTTTCATTTTTCATCCTTGAATTTTTCTTTTTGCCTTAGCATTTCGAGTGTGAATGTGGAAATCAATAATCACAAGGTAGGAAAAAAAAAGAATAGTATTACAGCAAAGGATAATTTCAAAAACTTCTTCTAAGATTTCTGATAATCTCATGTTACCCACTCTATATTCTTTATATTATTTATTTATTTATTATATTTATTATAGAAACCATCAAAATTACAACGAGTTCACTTGCGAGCAACTCTAACACGATAGCGGGAGTATGAGACCTATCTAAGCCCAAGGCCCCCCTTGCCATTCTGGGAAAGTCTTGCTGTGAAGAATACAAGACAAAATCCTCTGACCGTGCCCCCACCTTGGCCAACGCATCCGCCACCTGATTCGCCTTGTGTAACTTCGTTAACAAGCTAATTTCGCGAATTTTGGCGGATCGCTTGGCTCAAATACTTCCTAAGATCATTTCCCCGCAGCAGAGTGGATTTGTTCGGGGGCGGATCATCTCAGATAACTTTTTGCTTGCGCAGGAGTTGTTATCTTGTATGGGTAGAACCTCTAAAAATGCTGATGTTGCTCTTAAGCTAGATATGTCAAAGGCTTACAATCGTGTCTCTTGGGTATTTTTTACTATGGTCTTGCGTAGATTTGGGTTTGGGGAGCAATGGATTGACAGGGTTTGGAGATTGGTGTCGAATAGCTGGTTTTCAGTTTTGGTTAATGGAGCGAGTGTGGGGTTTTTTAAATCTACGCGAGGGATTCGGCAAGGCGATCCATTGTCCCCAGGTCTATTTATTATTGGTGCGGAGGTGATGTCTCGCTCTCTAAATAAGCTTTTGGAGAATCGGGAGTTCAAGTGCTTTTCAGTTCCTAGAGGATGCCCTAAAATCACTCATCTTAGTTATGCTGACGATGTCCTGGTTTTTTCTAGTGCTTGTTCCTCTTCTTTGAGGTGTGTCATGCAGACGATTGGCGGGTATGAGGCAATATCGGGGCAGAAGATTAATGTTCAGAAGTGTGGTTTCTTGGCTCATGATAAGTTGCCTAGCTATTGTATGGCGAGGGTTCGGCGGGCAACGGGTTTTGGTCTCAAATCTTTTCCTGTGCGATACTTGGGTTGCCCGCTTTTCACAGGGCGTCGAAAGAGTGTGTACTTCATGGAGATGGTGCAGTCAGTCATTAATAAAATTTCTTCATGGAGATCCAGATTTCTATCCAGTGGGGGCGTCTCATACTCATAAGGCATGTTCTCTCTGCGATTCCGACTCACTTGCTTGCGGCAGCTTGTCCCCCAAGAGGAGTTCTTGCCTTGGCTGAACGGGCCATGGCCAATTTTCTTTGGGGGAGCGGGAGGGTGGTTTCCGGCATCACTGGATCAAATGGGATGATTTGTGTGCCGGCTTGTCTCAGGGGGGAATAGGTATTCGTTCGTTACTGGAGGTCCAGTCAGCATTCTCAATCAAACTGTGGTGGCGGTTCCGTACAAGTGATTGTTTATGGTCGACATTTATGCAGGCAAAATACTGTCGGCGGAGTCATCCATGCATGGTGGGGGCGGTGCAGGGTAGCTCATATGTGTGGCGCCGCATGCTTCAAGTACGTGAGGTGGCGGAGCAAAATCTTTGGTGGCTGGTCCGGTCTGGTCAGTGTAACTTTTGGTTTGATAATTGGCTTGGATCTGGACCTCTTTGTCAGCGACTACAAAGTGTCTCTGATCATCCAGTAGGTGATTTCGTGTTGAATGGACGATGGAATCAACAGTTGTTGCGGCGCTGGGTTCCGGATGATATAGTGTCAGAAATTGTTACCAAATCTCCCCCAGTGGGGGTCGCGGATGATTGTGCGGTGTGGGCGTTGACGGAGTCAGGGGATTTCTCGATTGCTTCTTCCTATGTGCTCCTGGGCAGGCAGAGTCCTTCCTCATTCATGTTTAGCAGGGTTTGGCATTCTTTGATACCAAAAAGGTATCTTTTTTCATGGTGCGGTTGTTGCGGGATCGATTGCCTTTGGCGTCTGCGCTAGGACGATTGCATGTGTATGGTCCTTCCAAGTGTTTTGTTGTTCGGCCCCGCAATCCGAATCTTTGGACCATATATTTGGGGAAGGTGATGTAGCTCAGTTTTTGTGGACATTCTTTGGGAACGGTGAGGGGGTGAAGTACCGAGGGAGTGGGGCGCGTTCACGTCTGGCTGGCTGGTGGTGTCAACCGAAATGTAGTTCGCGTTTGGCATCACTTCACGTACTGGTGCCTAGTATAATCTGCTGGCATATTTGGTTAGCACGAAATCTTGCGGTTTTTGAAGGGAAGTGTCTGCGTAGGGAAGCCATGTGTGATCGCATCCTCGCGGATATTGTGGGGCTTTTTTGCGGGAAGTATGCAGGGGAGGCTATGGGACATGGATCTTGGATGGCATTTTATTCCAATATTTGTGGATGGAGGCCTCGTTATTGCCATAGTCTGGTTCATTGGGTGCTTCCAACCCAGGGGGCTTTCAAGCTAAATACGGATGGATGCTCGTTGGGCAACCCGGGCGCTAGTGGTGGGGGTGGTGTGCTCCGGGATTCATCTGGTGTAGTGGTGTTTGGGTTTTCAACTCCGCTTGTGGAGCTGACTTGCCTTCAAGCGGAGATTAGGTCCTTGTTGGTTGGAGTGCAGCAATGTCTCCTTAGGGGATTCTTGCGGATTCAGGTGGAGGTGGATTCTCCCACCTCTATATTCAAATATTATACTTCTATGCTTTTTTTAAGGACTCAAAATGATTATAATAATCTTCCCAAAAGTAATAAAATGCCTATCAAACTTAAAAAACACATCACCAAGAATCTTCCCATCACCAAATACTATATCACTGTTATGCTACTTCTTTCGTATAGTTTTAATCCACATTTTTTCACCTATTCAAGTTTCTTATACTTTTTATAATCCAAGTCTCCATGTCTCACAAATTCTAGTGTTAATCATGTTTTTTAATTGACTTGTATCTCACTCTTTCCATTTGTTATCATTTTTCCTAAGACCAAAGTTCAATCAACGGCTACAAACACAAATATACGATTGTAAATTTGGCCAAAGGAATATAGCGGAAATGATTTAGGCCTGAGGCAAGACTCTTTAAGACTAGGAGAAAACAAAAATATATTCATTGAATAATTTGATTTAAATATAAAAACTCCTTAAGGGAAATTTGAGGTATTAATATGAATTTTTTCCCTTACATCAGCCGCATAAAACCCTAAAATGTTTTGGGGATCATGTGGCAATAGATGAAAACACAGGAAATTATATATAATTTACCTAATATTTTAGAAGAAATACATCCCTCTCCTGTATGATTAAAAATAAAAAAAAATGGAATGGGTTTTTCCCCCTTTTTCACCCTTTTAATACCAAGAAAAAAAATAAAAAAGTGTCTTCTCCCTTTTTCCACCCTCTTTAATAATAAGGGGAAAATAGTCAAAAAAAAATGTCTTCTTCTTTTTTTCCTCGTGTACTTATCAATACTTAAAATAAGAAAATAGAGAGATAACTCAATTTCAAAAAAAAATAAAAATAATAAAGAATCCAATGTGCTTATTATTTTAAAATTACTACTTACTCTTCACCCCTACCGCCCACTCTAACTTATTTTAAATTAATTATAATATTGGATTCTTCTTTATTTTCCTTTTTTCTGAAATTGAGTTTTCTGTCAACCTCTATTCAATTTCTTTTTTTTTTTCTTAATAGTTGAGAATGAAAAAAAAAGGGAACCCTTTTACATTTTTTCTTGGTCCTATTAGAATGAAAACGGAGAATAACTGCGAGGTCAAATGCCTGCAAAATAATGTTAAAAAGGTAAATTGATATTAGCACTATAGTTTAAAGGGATAAAGTTATAATAACCCCCAATTTTAGTAACCTTGTTGCTAAAAATAATGTAATTCCTCTCTTTCCAGACATATAGTGTTGATGTTTACTCATCATTTCATAGTGTTTACTCATCAGTCCACAAGCCAAAGTTTACTTTTGCCGTATTCTTCAAGTTATTTTAAACACAAAAAATATAAAGATTGTTTCTAGAAACATTACTCGTGAAGGACAACGTATTCTTTGCCAGAAACCATTACTAGAATCAGATATTAAAGCTATGTTTCTTCTGCTGTTAATTGCTTGTATGTAATTGAGATCTTCTCCACCTCGATGCAAACCTAACCGAATCCAAAAAAGTTGTATTTAAGGCGCAATGATTTGATTCTGATAACGATTCTTCAGCAATCATATTTTTCCTTCAAGTCTTAAGTTGTGTCATTTGGTGGGTATCTCTGATTAATTGACTTCGTACCAGCTGCAAATAAATAATATAGAGGACTATTAATACCCTGATACTTGTCTGATCCTTATCCTTGATTTGCTAAACAATTGGGTATTGTCGTATGTGGTAGTTTCACCTCTTGACGACTTGTTTCTGGCGGTTTTAGCGTCCATGGATAATCAATTCGACATCACTGATTTGGAGTCCAATCTTTGGTTTTTTCAATAGACTTGAGTCTTTTTTTTTTTCTTTTTTTTGGCCAATAGACTTGAGTTTAACGCTCACTGAACTCCGATCTATGTCAAGAGAGTGGGTTAGATGCATGGACTCTAGACTATATCACCTCTAAAAGTATCCTTCTTGTTGTTATCAATAATTTTGCATTAATATGACAGGCATTGATCTTTCTTAATGAACTTAGAACTCATGAATTTTGTCTGAATAGAAAATTGCATTTTTCAGTTCAATTCCATTGAGGTAATTAAGTTAATTTCACTACAAATTTTAAACTACTGCCCTTTATGTCTAGTCCATTCACATTTTGATTGGCTTCATGGTACAGATATGCACAAAAACTTCCGCAATTGTCAACCAGTTAGCATTCTTTAGAACCAGGTTCATTCGAAAGAAAACCCACATTCTACACCTTATAAAGAGAGAGGCAAAACCCAAGAATTGGAGAGTCAAATTTCATGGTTATCAGACAATGTCTCAACTGGTTGAGGTGAATATTGCGTTACACTCAGAATTTGTCACGGAAATCATATCTGAATGATTTCGTACCAACTGAAAATAATTAAGAGGACCCAATATATGTGTGATCCACGAGGTGATAGCTACATTGGAGTTTTATCAAGTGGTAATTGCACCTCTTGATAACAGGTTTCTCGTGGGTTTAACGTGTAAGGATTTATTTGATTTGGATTTGAGCTTTGGTCAATTTTCAATAATTTTGATTTGATTTGGAAACTTTTTTTTTTTATATTATTGATTCTAATATTTATTCTTTAGTTATCTTTCAGATTTCCAAGTTTAATTCTTATCCCTGGAATGCATGGTTTCACTAGTGCGTCACCTTCAAGTACCTTAACTTCATTTGTTACGGCCAATTAGGCATTATCCAGTGGCAAAGTTTATCATCTTGGTCCTTTATCTTTGAGGCTTTGACCAATGTAGAACCTAATCTATACAATCAACTAGTTTTCTCCTTATCTCCATGAAAAATGTTAACTTAAAAACGGTAATTCGTGAGAGCTAACCGATGACTGATCACATGAATTGCATGTGCACATCAAGAAAACTATCGTTCTCCCTTATATTTGGAGTTTTGTCCAATTTGGTTCCATATTATCATTGCAAATCAATTTAATTTTTCGACTTTAAAATTGAATTCCCAATGTATGACAGCTAACAACAATTAAGGAAAATTAAATTGAAAAATTACTTAAATACCAAATGCACGTAAAGTTTTGATTTTATTTTTTTTTATTTTTTTTTGTCTAGAGTACCAAAAATGTACCATTTTGAAGACAAACTGGCAACCACGGTCAGCATTATACCCACCAGAAGATTAGGAGAGGCAGCCTTTTGGAACGTCTTGGACACCTTTTTCTTCGTGTTTTGATTTACTATTGTGACATATATTTGGGCACCTTCTTCTTCGAGTTCTGAAATTGCCACGGTGAGAATATGTCTTGGACAGCTTTTTGTACGGGCCGTTCTGATTTAGCTACTGTTAGATGTATGCTGGGACACAAGGGAAAGCTTTTAATTGCGTCATTTTCAAAATTCCCAATGGCTTCCAGTTCTACAAAGCGAAAGAAAAACAAAATAAAAAAGGATATATGAGTTGAGAATTGTTTAATATGACAACTTTCGATAGATTGTTATTGATTTACGTGGTACAATCAACTAATATTGTTAGTAAAATTGATGAGATAAAAGTTGATGCAAATTAATGATAGTGTATTATTTTACTTTTGCTACTATATTTTAGCAGCTTTCGACCACTTTTACCACATTATCATTGATTTATTGAGCTGTTGATACCGTTAATTTTACTAAAGTAGTCATTGATTGTATTTAAATGAGATAAACTTGAGAGATTAAGCTACGAGTGTCCAAAATTAAGAATTTAGGATGTAAAGTGTCCAAAATTAAAATTTAGCATACAAAGCGGAAAAGTGATACAAATTTTGGAGTGCAAAGTAGAGTGCCAACTCTTCTTGTTTATTTACCATTCATAAGTTAATATTTGTTAATTGGCACTAATCTTCTGTATTAGTATTCAACCAAAATTTCTTTTTTGAAGATACAACTACGTCAGAGTGAATAAGTAGTTTATAAGGAGTTTGCCTGATGAAATGGGCCATGTACTTCTTAACTAGGGTCTCAAGTATCAATCTTGTTGCAAAAGGATAGTAAATTAAATAGGGAAGAGAATCGTGGTAGCATCATAGACAATGTGACTTTGAAAATAATAAATACATGCACAAATCTAAAATTTCAGGATAACACAAGAGAATACCGTAATACTTAAGCAGTTAAGCGTGTTGTTTATGCATATTAAAATACATTTAAAGGCTGAAAAATGTCTTTAGCTTTTAAAATCACCTATTTTTGTATGGATAAATGCTTAGACGCAAGGTTGGCAATAATGGTGCCTCAAAGTACGTGGAGATTAACAATGGCATTCGATGTATCTATTAAGAAAAACAAAATTTTAAAAGTTTTTTCCTTTCAATAAATAACTAAATTTATTTTTGCTGAGTAAATCAGTATACAATAAGTTGCAATTTTTGACAATGTTTTGACACACATGTCAAAGTCAACCAAATGCCTAATTTAATGAATTCACCATGTAATTGCTGTAAAAACTTTTAGTATGTATTAATGGGTTATATATTTTTGTTCTCTCTTTTATTTGTATAAGTAGTAGGGTATGTATTTGGAAAGATTTTCACCATGCCTCTTTTCAACCTGAACTTATGGTCCCTCCAAATATTACTTACTACAATTAGTATAAAAATTTAAATGTGCTAATAACCAACTTCCTAAAGTGCTGGGACTAGTCCGATTTCAAGTTGACCGGAGCAGAGAATCCAAGGCTTTTGCCGCATCCGAGTCATTTTACATGAAAGATCTTGGGATTGAATACCAATACCCAAGTTTCATCAACGCATCGCCTCACAAAATCTGATGCTGCTAGATTACATAACCATACAATCACAGAAGCTCCTGAAAGAATTTCAACTCTAAAGACGGTTGGCTGACACACCGTGGCATATCCTTTCATAGTTTTCTATTGCCGCTATGCGCGAGGCGTCACTCATATTTGATCATCTGTATTTGAATTAAACTCCGACGAGTACTAGTGCTACTTTTGACAATCAAAGCT